GGTGAGGGGCAGCGGGTGGGGCGCGTCCCCTGGCTGAGGCGGCGGCCCCTCGGCAGCGAGGGGCGAAGGCTGTCCTCGCCTCACGGGAGGTCTCGCTTCTGCTCCCGAGCCCCCTCATGATGCTGTGCAGGCTTGTCGCGCCGGCACGGCCCGCTGCTGTCAGCGAAAAGCGTGGTGAGGCAGCTGCCCCTGACTGGGGAAATGCCAGACGCCTGGTCAGGGCTGAGGTCTGGCTCGGGCAGCGTTTCAGCCTGCGTGCCCCCTAGGCTGTGGATGACAGTGCAATGGAGAGGTAGCATGTGGCTCATCGTGACTCACTAATTCTGTAGCTGATTTCGGAAACTCTCTTGCACCTAAGGTGGTAGAATAGGACTGTAGGATCCCTCCTCTGCCAAGATGAGACTAATCAGCTCTCTGCTTTCACCAGAGCAACAGAAGCTGTTTCTGGCCTCTGCTGAGGCCTGAGAGGAATCTAGGCAGATGGCAGCTGGTGGGAGAGGTGCTTGGAAACAGGGTTTGTTTGTTGTTGACATCCAAGATAGCTGCTTTAGAAGTAGTTAAATGCTCAGCTACATCACCTTTCACCAAGGGTAGTGTCTTAGACTTTACTAGATCAAATGGGTTTTAGATTTATTTAATCAGGAGAAGCATGTGACATCAAATTTATCAGTGGTGCTTCAAAATTTGTATTTGTAACTACATGAAAGAAAAGGTTTGTGAGGTTTTATAACACAGCATTCGAATTTTCTGAATGATTAAAATTCAGCAAGTACACTGAAGCTTGTAACTTTAATTACTTTCAGCCAGTGCTCACTGGTATCTGCTTATGTCATCTGTAAGATTTGAGACTTGTGTGCTCCAGTGAGAGAGCATGGTCAGTGTTAACGCAAAAGAATGGCACGACTGCACCCACTTCCAGCAAACTGCTTGCAGATTGTTTGCAAGCATGAAATTGTTTCTTGAAGGAATTCATGGATACTGAATGTGAAATTCTCAAGTTTTACTCTATCGGTTTCCACTCTGGCAAACAGAAGAAGATTGCCTTGACTGAATAAGTGCACATTATTCTCTTAGCTTTAATTATAAACCAGTTCTGGTTTTAAGTCCCCAAGTTCATGATCCTATGGAGATGCATCTACTTGAGTTGATTCAACAGCATTGGTGCTTAAACACACAGGTATGTTAACAGTAGTGTTACAGCCTGTGTATTTTTTTTGCTTTTTTAATAATTATAGATCAACAAGCCTGAGAAGCTGGACAAGCCAGAGAGCTGTGATAATGTCAAGGTTGTTGTTCGATGCCGGCCTCTTAATGAACGAGAGAAGGCTACGGGCTACAAAATGGCAGTCAACGTAGATGAAATGAGAGGAACTATAACTGTCCATAAAACAGACTCATCCAATGAGCCTCCCAAGACATTTACGTTTGACACAGTGTTTGGACCAGAGAGTAAACAGCTGGATGTCTATAATTTAACTGCAAGACCTATTATTGACTCTGTCCTAGAAGGATACAATGGTAAGTCCCTTGTTTTAAGTCAAGGATCCCATCTCCTGTTCTTTTGCTGATCTTATTTAAGGGAGTTTCACCTTCTGAGGGCTATAGCCCTGTACTGTTTCTGTTGTGGCCTCTGACTTAAATAGCCTGAAGGTACTTGCTGTTCTGAGTACTCAGTGGTTGTACCTACTGTGATCGTTAACAGTGGGGGACCGGTGATGAACAAGACTCAGCTGAGGTCAGTTAGTTGTATGTTTTTATTCTGTATCTTCTGTTTGCAAAAGATATACACTTTATCTCATTGTCAGAATTCTCAGCGGCTCTTCACTATACAATTTCAGTAACCAGGCAGCTGCCACGGTCCTGCAGTAACTAGGTATGCATACCAGACTTGTGCATATAACTGCTGCATTTTCTCCTCTAAACTTTGCTGTTTTAAACTAAGATGACTAGTTAAACACATCTGCCCTACCCCACAGATAATCTTTTGCTTCCTGCAGCTGGGAAGAGTATGACCATGATTTGTGTGTGTCTGTTATGCATGTAAATATATTATGTAAAGGAAAGCAGATGCTAGTAAGGAAGCAAATTGCTGCTTTCCATAACAGTATGCTATAAACAACAACAGATGACAAAGTTTTTAAAAGTTTGTAAAATGCCTAATAAGTTCTTGTGCTAACACACCCAGGTTTCAGCTGATTACAGTTCGCAAAAGCTGAATTTTAATGTTGGTGGCTTGACAATCAAAACTTGAGTTTTCAGCAGTGCTAGGCTAATCTTAAGAACCAGTACATTTCTGCAGTACCAGAGTCTGGGATCTCAGTAAAGTTTCTGGTGTCTTCCCGTGCAGGCTGATCTACTCCAAATTGCAGCTGCTTCTGCAGGTTCAGAACTGGGCTTGTGCTTTGGCCTGTGTTGTAGAAGCCTTGCACTGTTTCTGCTGTGGTGTAGAGCACTAGCAATAGTTGGGTTTGCAGTTGGTATATAATGATCTTCCTCTAATTGACCATGTTATTAATTGGGCTTGCCTTAATTATTTGTGTGTGAGACCTAAGTGTACTAGCACTGCATCACTTTAATCACTCTGCACAGTTAAAACAAGCTGACTTTTTCTTAGATGTCTTGAAGGCTGGATAAAAACCAGTGGCTAAGCCCTGCTCGCTGTGGCTGTCTAGCATTTCTGTTGCTCCTAGCCTTGTACAGTATCTACTGGAGTGGGTGGAAAATTTCAACTCCATAAAAATAAAGGTGTTTAGTGCTATCAGGCTAAGAAGGGGTGAAGTAAAACTGCAGTTAGCAACTTCTTAGAGTTTGTTCATATATCTTCTTATCCTTCAGGTACTATTTTTGCATATGGGCAGACTGGAACAGGCAAAACTTTCACCATGGAAGGGGTCCGAGCGGTTCCTGAGCTTAGAGGCATCATTCCCAATTCCTTTGCCCATATATTTGGTCACATTGCCAAGGCAGAGGGGGATACAAGGTAAACAGCTTTTCACTGCTTCTGTCTTTGCGTGTCCATCTGTAGTAGGAGCCTGACCTTGACAATGGCAACTGAAACGGTACCTCTGGCCCTGGCTGAAAGACTCCTACTTAGGCAGTTCTTGATAGGGTAGCAGGATTGTGTTGGTATATCACTGCATTTTCTTTGCACTCTGTGATTGTGTTTGTTGGACTTCAGCAAATGTCTTCCTAAGAAAGCTACCCAACTGTTTGTCTTCAGGTTTTTAGTTCGTGTGTCCTACCTGGAAATTTACAATGAAGAAGTGCGGGACCTGCTAGGAAAAGACCAGACACAGAGATTAGAGGTGAGCCTGCTGTTCTGAATGTGATGTTTGTTTTGGATCAGTGAGCAATATTGCATTTTAAAGACCAGAGGAGCACTTGAAGGGAAGGTTGGGCTCCTCAGCACATGTACTATTTCCTTTAAGATATGGTAGCTGGATATCACTACTGACTTCTCTAATTTTTTCCAGTTGGTCAGTTGCATAGTGAGAAACTGGCTATTCTATCTGAGTCAGTTTTGTCCCTGCACTTCTACCCCAAAGGCCCCTCAGCAGTCTTTCTAGGAACTGGAGACAGACTTGAAGTCACTGTTTCCCACCAGGGGAGACCAGTGGAATATTGTCCTGCAGGAGTCTTTGTTCCTTAGCTGCTCTCATTCTGAGTGTTGGAGTGTTTTATGTGCAAACCAGAATCTGGAGGAGTAAATCACTGTACTATTACAGTACCACTGAAATTTGCTATTGGGGATCTCCTAAGGATGCTCAGTCTAAACTGTTTCTTTCTTAGGTTAAAGAGAGACCTGATGTGGGAGTTTATATCAAAGACCTTTCAGCTTATGTCGTAAACAATGCAGATGATATGGACAGAATCATGACTCTGGGCCACAAGAACCGTACGTAGCCTTGCTGTGGGCAGGTTTATAGCTCAGACAGAACAAAGGTCTGGTTATGAGACCACAGTAAGAGAGCCTAGTCCTAATGCTGGAAAGATTGTTCAGCTGAGCAGAGCACAAAGAGTATCTCCTCCCAAACCCCTCTTTTGCAGGGGCGGGCAAAGAAGGCTGTGCCTCCCACATCGGCCAGTGCCAGTGGGGGAATTGACGAAGGGGAGGATGCAATGAGGGCAGTCAGCGTTGTCAGAACTACTAGCGTGTGTCTTGGTTGTTTTCCCTCTTAGTTCTGATCAGGATGAACAACTAGCCCTGTGCTGTGAGTGGGAGGTGGTTTATATTTTCTGGGAGACTTCTTAGTTAAGATCAGATCCTTTTATGACCTAAAGTTCTGCCTACTGTTGCTCTTGGCATGGATTGTTGTGTACTTACTTCTAAAATACAACTGTTCTCAGGGATCAGCTGTGAAAGCCTGATCTTTGTAGCCTTAAAGAAACAGACGAGAACTACTGGTGCTCTTGGGATGGGAGTCTGTGGTTGGCTTAGAGCTACAGCAAGCTGTCACGTTTCTGCTAGTCCAGATTGGAGATGTGCTGCAACTTCAGTGCCCAAGAATACAGTTTGCTGCTGAGTCTGAGCATCCCTCTTCCATCTTCTGAAAAACAGGGTTGGGTAAAGAGGCGGGGATAAGTGTCCTTTGAGAGCAGGAAGAGTGTTACAGGAGCATGTGATTCCTCCTGAAGACAACATTGCTTTTTCTCTCTATTACAAGGCTCTGTTGGTGCCACAAACATGAACGAGCACAGCTCTCGTTCGCATGCCATCTTCACTATCACTATCGAGTGCAGTGAGAAGGGGGTTGATGGAAACATGCACGTGCGCATGGGCAAACTGCATCTCGTCGATCTTGCTGTAAGTAGCACCAGCTGGGTCTGCCATAACGCATGGTGGGCATCACTGCTCATCTATGCACTGTAGAAGGCACAGTAAAGGGCATGTCCCCTGTTTCACAGCTAAAGCCCAGACTTCTGTTTGACGTTTGACTTCTGTAAAGTATTCACTTGGGGCCTTAAATCAGAGGTGTACTGGGAAGAGCCTTTAGTGTAGCTAGAGCCTGTCCCAGTAAAAGGGCTCTCTTGCTTCTATAAATTAATCATTAAATGGATAAACTACATTGGAAAGCAGAACTGGGTCTTTGCAAGAGTTTCTTTGTTGGTTTTTTTTTTTTTCTAGAGGGTTGTGACCATGCAGTTCATCACTTGCAGGTTCTCTCCCTCTGTCACTCACTTTGAATTAATGTAATTGTGTTTGGTAAAATGTGTCTTTAGCCCAAAATTTACACTGGAGTATCTTTCCTTGGAGAAGAGGCAGGAAAGGGGAGACTAAAGGCATTCAATGTCTGCGTGTTAACTTTATTTACATGATATATGTTCAGGTTGCTCTATGAAACTCTTTAAAATAATTGCAGTGTTGCTTTTCTCCCTTGATCTGCTGATAGGAAAGGCTGGAGATGGTGCTTAGCAGCTCCAGCTGAGGTACCTCATAACTGCTGACTTGCTTCTCATAAAATTTTTGTTCATGGGGACAAAATCTCCATTTTCTCAGCTGCATTACTTTGAGCAATCCAGAATTTGCTGGCATTGAAAGCTTCAGTTAAGATCTGTTTGACTTCTCTTTGACAATGTCTGAGGTACTTAGCCAGGTTCTCTAATAACGGATGAGGTGGTTAGTGACATGGCTGCTAGCAAGGCTTCAGTTGTAGTTGATCCTATTTGGAGGAGGGAGATGTATTAGAGGATCTGTTGTAACTCCTGCTTCTGCTTCCTGTTCCGTTTCCAGGGTTCTGAGAGACAGGCAAAAACTGGAGCCACGGGGCAGCGACTGAAGGAAGCTACTAAGATCAACCTCTCTCTTTCCACACTGGGGAATGTTATCTCTGCGCTGGTGGATGGCAAGAGCACCCATGTGCCCTACCGTAACTCCAAACTTACACGGCTCCTTCAGGATTCTCTTGGGGGCAACTCCAAAACCATGATGGTAAGCTGAGATGCCCTTTCCAGTGCCAGCGATCGAGCTGCATTTTTATGGGGGATAGCATAGTGACTTTTCCATGAGAACAGCCTGGCATTTACCTCTTTATTTCAGAGCTGTTTGCAGCTTAGAGAACCTTTTATGTGCATCTTTTTTTATCTTTTCTCTTTGCATCTGTACAGATGAGGTTCTAAACATCGTGCAAATGTATGCATGTGCATAAGATCAAGTAGAAGCTGTGCTTGGGTAGCCAAAAGCAGCTTTGATATAGAAGCAGCAGGAAAGCTTGGGAAAGAGGCGCAGTGTGAGGGGGGCAGGGCTGGGGATGGGTCCCTGTGCAATTACTTGTTCTAGGCTCTGACACACTGTCCTCCAGTAACTCTGTCTTCCATGTGTCACAGTGTGCAAACATTGGTCCAGCAGACTACAACTACGATGAGACTATCAGCACTCTCAGGTATGCAAACAGAGCCAAGAACATAAAGAACAAGGCCAGGATTAACGAAGATCCCAAGGACGCTCTGCTCCGCCAGTTTCAAAAAGAAATTGAAGAGCTTAAGAAAAAACTGGAAGAAGGTGAGATTCTCCTTCCTCTTATGTTTCTCTCTATACCAATGCTCATTCTTTTCGAGTGGGAACATTCTTTGCTATTTGAAGATGTGTCACATGAGTTTAGTCGCTGGTCGGTGTCCTGGTTTTGTGTGCCCTGCTCGGGTCCAGGAGAGGTGTCCCGAGGGCAGCAGGGCGCTGGCGGGGGCCCGGCCTTGCCCGCTAGGTGGCACTTGGCCCCAGCGTAGGTGACGGCTTCTGGGCTGACTTAGGTGTGCTCGGGCTGGTCTGGTGAGCAGGAGGGCTCTGAACACGGCTGACCACGGCTGTGTATGGAACTAAAATGTATGGTAACAAAAGGTCAGATGTTTTCCCTGTTTGAGGAGGAGGGATGCATTTTTCAGGAGAAAAATGAACAAAATTTGTGGAGCTAGAACTGGGGCTGACTTTCAAACATAGAGAAACAAGAAGCTTCTTTAAGCCCTGTAACTTCATGGCCTTGTGAACTCTATTAGTCCATCAACATCGAAGGACCCTGCCAGAGGCGTCACTAAACAGTGACCTTAGCACAACATCTCTCTCCAGAGAGATGCTCACAGCACAGAACAGCTGTCGCAGTTACTCCAACATGGCTTGCTGTTTGGAGTCTGCCCCATTCAGGAGACGCAGGAAATGGTCAGTAACGCTTTCTTCAAGGGTTGGGAGCTGGGTGTAGCTGCTTCATTAGCTGTTTCATCGCTGGTGGACTGAGAGTTGCTTCTTAAATTTTAGACTCTACGCTACAGAACAAACAAACCTGTGTTTGCTAACATTACTGGGAGGCCAGGGTGTTAAATGTTGGATTCTATTCCATTTGGTTTCCAAACTCGGCCTGACACATCTGAGCATTGTGTCTGCAATGGCAACAATGATAAATGCTTGTGAAACTGGCCATTTTTTCAATTAACAGCCATCTAGCTTCATGTATACAGGTGTCTGATTAAGTAGCAAGTCTGTGTGAACTTCATTCATCTGACCATTTTCTCCTCCATCTGAGATTGAAGAGAAGGTATGGGGAGATCCTGCTAGGAAAATTCTGTAGCTTAACGCTTCAGCAGTGCTGAACGCTTTGTAGCTTAACGCTTCAGCTTTATTTCCCATGAAAGTGCTAGGAAAATTCTGTAGCTTAACGCTTCTGCAGTGCTGAACGCTTTGTAGCTTAACACTTCAGCTTTATTTCCCATGAAAAGCACCCACTTGAGCTTTAACATATACACA